CAAATCTCAGCTCAAATGCCAGATTTTACACAAAACCTCTCTTGACCACCCTGCTGCTAATGTCTCCCCCTTCCCCAATTATCTTCTACTTTGTATTTGTATTTTAGATGGACATGGTGTCTCCCCTCACTAGATTCTAAGCTTCTCAGAGGCAGGAATTGTTTTGCTTATCCATTGTGTTCCCAGGTCACAGTGCCTGGCATGTAGTAAGTGCTTCATAAATGTTTATTACTTGATTGAGAAGACTCAGATGTGTGGATAGGGGAAAATAGCCAACTGTCTTCAAGGATTTGAAGGACATGTCAAATCAGGATTAGATTTATTCTTCATTCTCAGTAGGGAAGAGAATAAGCATTTATATGGCCACCTCCTGTATGCCAGGAACTGGGCAAAGTGCTTTATAAATATTATCCCATTTGACCCTTCCAACAACTCTGTAAAGCAGGTGCTATTCTCATCAACAATTTTACAGTTGAGGAAACTGAGGCAAACAGAGGTTAAAGTGACTTGCCCAGCTAGTAAGTGTCTAAGACCAGATTTGAACTCAAATCTTCCTGACTCCAGCCCCAGGATTTCATGCATTGCACCATTTAGTTGCTTCAGCTTCAATAGAAAATAACCTCCTTGAAGGCAGGGGCCATTTCATTTTCATTATTGTCTCCCCAGTGCCCAGCACAGGGTCCAGCATATAGTAGGAGGTTAATACATGCTTGCTTGCAGGCTTGGTTCTTGGCACAGAGAGGGTGGAATGGAAAACAATGGATGGATGTTGCAAAGGTGCCATTTTAGGATCCTTGAAAGGAAAACATGTCTAATCATCCCAAAGTGGAATGGACTGCTTCGAAGGTAGCGAGTTGCCCTGCCCTAGAGGTCTTCAAGCAGAGTCTGGGTGACCCCTCAAAGGGGACTCTCTACAGGGGACTTTGTCCAGATCTAGGCTGTCTCAGATCATTGCTGAGGACCCATCCCGTGCTGATAGAGTGTTTGAGAGGGAAAAAGAGAGGGTAAAAACCCAGTGACCTCAGGAAAGAAAGTGAGGAGATGCCTCGGCCAACTTCAGACCCTCTTTTAATTAATTTTTGTATCCGGATATAAGCTATCCATGGCCCCCACTCACGTGCTAGAATTTCCAATGACAGCCAGCCAGTATCCCCTGTGTTTTTCCCAAGAGTGGGCCTCAAAGGTCAAGAGACAATGAGTTAGGGGCCCAAGCTCCCCCTTTCTTCTCCACTTGACCCATTTTGATTTGACTGTTAAATCCATAGCGTGTGTAGGGATCAGGAAGAACAGAAACCCAAAGCACTGTCAGGCAGGAGGAGCCCAAAGTGGGGTAATTTCCATCTGAAGAATCATCAGAGGTCGCACTTTTAAATTGAGTAAATCCTTTTGGAAGGCTCTTTCTTAGCCCTAAATCAATTTGATTCTGTGTAAAATCCCATCTCCTTCCAGCTTCTCTCTCTCCAGAGCCATCTACATCAGCACGCTTCAATAAATATTAATGTTTTCACCAAACACTTCTTTGAGGGTGGGTGGGGGTAGGGAACAATATAATGAGATGTAGCAGGCTTCATAGGGGGCCCAGTTAGAGTTATACCGTCCAAATATGAGGGAGAAGGAGAAAGAGAAGGGAGGAGGTGGCTGAAGGAGAGGACAGAAGAGAAAGAGAGGAGAGAGACAGAGACAGACAGGCAGAAACCAAGAGACAAGAAGGAAGTGGAGAAGGGGAAAGCCGATGGAGGAGAAAGACAAGAAAGAGGAAGGAAAAGAGAGGAAAGACAAAAGAGAGAAAAGAGGAGAGGGGGAGGTATGAGAGTGAAGAGAAGAAGTGAACAGAGAGGAGAGAGAAAGAGAGGAGAGGGAGAAAAGAGGAGAAAAGAGGGAGGAGGGGGGGGGGAGTGCTTTCTTGGATTTAATGAGAGAAAAAATAGAAATCTGAGTGTTGGTTAAGAAAAGAAGAAGCCGGCCTTGGGAAAGAGAGAAAAGAGGGATACGTTGATCTGTAGAAACTGGGGACAGGCAGTGGCCTAGAGTCTGTGTGGAGCAGTAGAGGGCATCTCACCTCTGGACCTTCTGAGTCTGGATAAAGCCAGAGAGAGAGAGCTTTCCTTAGCGGAATATCAATTATTTACCAAGTTCAGAATCAAAAGGGGAAATAAACAAGTGCTGAAGTTCGGGGCAGCCTTTCAAGTTTGTAAAAGCTCTTTATAGTCATCATTATTCATTATCTCACCTGAACTTCACAAAAATTCTAGAAAGTGGGCATCTCAGGGATTATTATTCCCATTCTACAGAAAAGCAAACTGAGGCTGAGAGAAATTAAGTCATTTGTCCAGGGTTACAGTTAGGTTTCAGTGGTAGGATTTGAAGCCAGTCTTTCTGATTCTTAGACCGAAATGCTCTGAAGCGTAGTGGGAAAAAAATACACACATACACACACACGCACACACACACACACATATATGTGTGTATATATGTATATATATATGTATATATATATGTATATATATATGTGTGTGTGTGTGCGTGTGTGTGTGTGTGTGTATATATATATTGAGTTTAAGCCCCGCCTGTAACTGGTATTGGCTAGGTGACCTTGGGCAAGGTCACTTAAACCTGTCAGTGGCCCAGCCAAACCAGGGGAGTTTTTTATATCAATGAAATCACACGTCCCTTCCACCTAGCCATCATCATCATCATCATCATCATCATCATCATCATCATCATCATCACCACCATCATCATCATCATCTCATTTGATCCTGAACTTTGCAGACATCTAGTGCTTTGCTGATGAAGGTCACACCTTCACCTTGTACTCAGTACCTATGAAGGACAAAGACATCAGCTACTCCCCACTGCTCTCTCTAGTGATCGAGTCCACAGCTTGTCTCCAGTTTCTAAAGTGCAATGAGCTACCCCTTCTTTTCTCTCTGCCCAGCTTGTTTTTTTCAACCATCGGCAATTGCCAGATTTATTTAGACCTATATGCGTACTTATTTTGAATCTGTTAAAAGCTATTTGAGAAGCATCAGTGACCCTTCCTGCAATAAACCTTGGTGTGAATTCAGAGAGGACAGCCTAAACTCCATCTAGCCATAGACATAGATGGAAATTAAGCTTTATATTCTCCCCATCTCTGTCTCTGCCTCTCTTTCCTTCTCTCTCTGCCTCTCTGTCTCTGTCTCTTTCTCTCTGTCTCTCTATCTCTGTCTCTGCCTCTCTGTGTCTGTCTCTGTCTCCCTTCCTCTCTGTTTCTGGCTCTCTCCTTTCTTTCTCTCACAGGCTCTCTTTGTCTGTTCTCCGTCTCTGTCTCTTTCTTTCTGTCTCTGTCTTTGTCTCTTTGTCTCTGTCTCCCTCCCTCTCTGTTTCTGGCTCTCTCCTTTCTTTCTCTCACAGGCTCTCTTTGTCTGTTCTCTGTCTCTGTCTTTGTGTCTCAGTCTCTGCTCTCTCTGACTCTCCATGTCTCTCCTAACTCTCTGCTTCCATTTCTGTTTTTTTTAAATGTCTTTGTCTGTCTCTCTGTATCTGTCTGTCTACATAATTTTTGAATTCACACTCAGGCTTACCATAGGCACAATCACCAGCGCTTCCCCAAATATCTTTTAACCGATGGAAAACAAAAATACCCTTTCGATGTAGCCAAAGCTCTGGAGAGTGCATCTTCCCTTCTCCTTCCTCCACTTCCCTCACTTTGCCTGTTTATGTGTTCACCCTCCTCTTTAATGGAGAGAGAAATGCTATTAATTGGCTCATTGGTGGTTTCTTTTGTGCAATTTTTTTTTTGGGGAAGCATCCCAGGTCCCCAAGTCCACAGTGACATCCCCTTGATCACCCCTGTGTGCAAAAGGTTGTTTGGATGGATGTTGTTATCCCCTTTATTTGTGTTGGTGGTAAATCCGGGGGAAAAAATGTCTATCTTTTCCTTTAAAGTTCTGATTCAAGGCATGGATGTGAGAGTTCTGAAGGGACTTTGGGACTGCGGTAAAAATTCGTTGTCATAGCAACAGGAAGGGAAATAGGCCTTGCTCACCTGGGACTTTTACTTACTGCAAAAGCTCGGTTTATTTTTATTTTTTATTTTTTTTAAGGGAAGGACTCTGCAAGAGAAATAAATAAATAAAGAAAACTTATTGTATTTGGAAGCCCGTTTTTCAAATATTAAAAAATGCAACTCCCTTCAAGGCCCCCTCTGCTCTTTTCCCTCAGCTGGGGGTGACTGGCTAATTAAAGATGCCTTGGTTTTCCGAGTTGCACAACTGGGTTCTGGTAGGGGATGCCTGGCTTCACCAGGGCCCTGCAAACGACACACCCAAACCATTTTTCTGTCCTTTGTTTTCAAGGCCTGAAAGGAGTCATAGAAATGGTCATTGGTCATTATAAGCCCAGCGCTCACCAAGAAGGGAGAGGCTGCCCCATAGCTCCCTTTGGAGTCCAAAAGAACATTTTCTATGCTGTTACTGAATTATCTGGAAAAAGCATGAAATGCTGATAACTGTGTGTGTGTGTGTGTGTGTGTGTGTGTGTGTGTGTGTGTGTGACTAAAAGTGTACCTGTGCATATACACATCTGGCCAGTTGAAAGCCTTGTGTCTGACCCACATTGGGATTCTTGGATGAATCTTGACATTTCAAACCCACATCAGAGACATCTTTGCCTGACAGGGGTCACCACTGCCCATGAAAAAGGAACTACCAGGGGGCTGTGTCCAGCTGCACCCTTAACAATCCTAGCCAGTGGGTGGGGTGGGGGAAGAGAACAGTGGTATGTTACTACCATTGGAAAACATTCCAAATGATGGAGTCTTAAAGGTCAGCCCTGCACTTGAGTCTGGGGTAGTGTTGAAATTCCCCAGATCTGAACCATGATCAAATACTATTAAATAAAATGAGATCTACCCCACCTAATAACAATTAATAATAATAATAATAATAATAATAATAATAATAATAATGAGAGTAATGAAAATAATAATAAACCTGGTAGTTTCAGGTTTCTTAAAGCTGTAACTTGTCCCCTTTTCTCTGCAGATTCTTTTTAAAATTTTTCCTGAAGTGCAATCAGAATTGTTTGAAAACAGCGGGAAACCCCAGGGACATGCGACGCTTCCAGGTAAGGGGTCTGCTGTAGCTGTAAGTAAACCTAGTGACTTTCCTTCACAACGAAAAAGATAAAGGTAAATGATAAGCCATATCCGATGGTGTGAAAGCTGCCTTCGTTGGTAGGGTGCAGACCTTCTACCTTCTTTCCTAGATCCCTGCAGGAAGGAGATGTTCAAGCTGGGTAGAGACAGAATGGGAAACCTGCAGGTCATCATCCCCCCATCCCCAAATCCCCAAGGACTCTTGTCCTTGAGACCTAGCCACCAGGGATCTTTTCAGTGCCTTCTGAAGGCAATGCTTTTGTCCCTTTTTTCCCCCATCTTGTGAACCCTTTCAGTGGCATCTCTCTCTGTCTCTGTCTGTCTGTCTGTCTGTCTGTTTCTCTCCCTCTCTTTCTCTCTCTCTCTCTGGGCTCTTCCAAAACTGGCCAGCCAAATCGTCATGGTCACTTTAAGAGTCCCGCACAGCAATAGGGCCCATGGGACAGCGACCCAGCTGCTTGGAAGTTAAATCTGCCAGGGGTTCCATCATTCCATCACTGATGTATCGAGAATACGAGCTAATAAAAAACACATAGTGAGCCGAACTGTGCTGGGTTGGAAATGTAAGCAAGTATACTCCCTGCAATCGCCTCCCCTCTTCCTTAATCTTTGAAGTACCCATATTTAATTCATCAAATGACTTTCTTGCCATTTGTCCCCAGCCCAAACACAGAAGGGGAAAAGGTAGAAATAAAGCATTTTCAGGGGGCTAATACTTTGTAGCCTGAGATGTTCTAAGGTTTCAAGGCTCAGCTGGTCACCTTCTGAAATATTTCCTTCTTTTCTATCTTAACCTCTGAACTAGAGATCAGGCAAGGATTATCTCAACCCATTTTCAAGATGGAAAAATGGGAACCTGAGGAGAAGAGAGGAGAAGAAAGGGCTTCCCTGATACGATGGCTAGCATCTATCTGACATTTTAAGGTTGGCAAAACACTCACAAGGTTCACTAGCTGGGTGACCCTGGCCAATTCATCTGACCTCTTGAAGCTCAATTTCCTCATACGTAACATAGCCAACAATTCATATAATGTTTTAGGGCAGTGGTAGGGAACCTGCAGCCTTGGTTTGGATTCAGTCAAAGGGCTGCACTTGAGGACCTAGAGGGCCATGTGTGGCCTCAAGGACACGGGTCCCCCACCCCGGTTTTTAGCATTTTCAAGGTGCCCTCTCTTTTGATTCTTACAACAACCCTGTGAAGCAGGAACTATTATCATCATCTTTACAGATGAAGAAACTGAGGCTGAGAGAAATTTATACAACTTACCCAGGATCACTACAGTTAGTAAGTGCCTTAGACAGGATTCAAACTCAGGTCTTCCTGACTTCAGACTTTCTCCCTCTATACACTGCTGCGCTCAGTATTGAACTCATTATCATGAGAGATAATGTATGTAAAATGCTTTGCAAATTTTAGAGCTCTATAGATGGGGCAGCTGTTGCTGTTAGGAAAATAACCTCCAGTGAAATTGTACCTAAGCTGACAGCAGCTGTGATAGATACAGAACCCAAGGGGCTCAGATGTTTTACACATACATACACATGCATCGATATATGCATACACACACATGTATATATGCACATACATCACATATGTACATATTTGCACATAAAGGACAGACTTTACACGCTCAGCTTCTGAGATCTGGCCATCTTCAGCACATAGTGTAGCAAGTGATTAATAAATGCTTATTTTATATGGAAATGACCTCTTGGAATGTGGACCTGGCTCAAGATGGAGTGATGGCAGCATTTAGCCTGTCAGCACCCATCAGGTGGATTGCCAAGGTGGTGCAATTATCTTAATAATTTAGGCAAAGTTTGAACCACCCTCTCCCTGCACACGCTTGTTTCCATTATCTGAATATTTCAGGCAAAAATTGATTGGCTCATTGTATACTAGCTAGCATTTCTAGAACACCTTAAGGTTTGCAAAGCACTTTAACAAAATCTTGCATTCTCCTCACAACAATCCCGGGAGGTAGGTACTGTGATGATCTCAATGTTACTTTTGATATGCCTTGAAATAAGAGTCCTAAGAGCCAAAGAAACTTCATGCTGGAAGGCTTATATCAGAGATATTGAAATGGTTGGAACTTCAGAGGCTACACAGCGGGGGGCGTATTAGAGCCACTTCATCCTACTGAGAGCTGATTGTTAAATTATCAGTGTGACCCTTTACATGTTGGAAATCGGTAAAAGTTATAGACCAAGGCTTGACTTATTGTTTTATTGGTTGTCCAGACTTAAGAAAGTGATGGAGAAAATTTTAATGGTTCAGATTGAATTTAAAAGTGCATTGAGTATACATTCCCTGCCTCCTGGAGAGCTGGTTGTTAAACACTTACCAGCACATGGCTGCATGTAGTGCAAGCTCCTTATTTTAGAAGATGAGAAAACTGAAGCCCAGAGATATTAAAGGGTTCAGAGGTAGCAGAGCTTAGGTTTGAATCTTTGTCCTCTGACTCACCATTCTGCTGTACCACAGTACCTTCTAAAGGGACCTTTGAGTGCCTACCATATTTGATTCAATTTTCTGCTTCACTTTGTGGAGTGAATATGAGCTTCTTGAGGAGAGAGGGCTTCTCTCTTTTTTGTCCTTTTATGTCCTTAAATAAACAACTCCAGAGCTTTAGGCTTAGTGAAAAGGTGTCTAGCTTTGGAGTCTGGAATAGTGTGACCCTGGGCAAGTCACTTGACCTCAGAACCCCAGGCATTTCTCTAAGACTAGAGCTCTTAACTATTTTTTTTTTGGGGGGGAACACATGAATCTCTATGTTAGCTGTCTGGTGAAGCCTCCGAGGCCCTGTTTCAGAACAATGATTTTACAATTAAAAAAAAAGTAAGATTACGAATGAAAGCAATTATAATAAAAAAGTTACTTTTTTTTTTTGGCTAGACAATGGGGTTAAGTGACTTGCCCAGAGTCACACAGCTAGTAAGTGTTATGTGTCTGAGGCCGGCTTTGAACTCAGGTCCTCCTGAATCCGGGCTGGTGCTCTATCCACTGCACCACCTAGCTGCCCCCCAAAAGTTACTTTTTAAGAAAAAGTTCACAGACATTAAAATAAAGACTACTTTAAGACTACAACACACCTTCTCACACCCAGATCCGCAGAGAAGGTCTCAGTTTTCATTAGTAGGGGACCTTTTTGTCACTGGGAGTTCTCCATGTCAATGGAATCTCTAGTTTGAAATATACCTGTGAATATAAGAAAAATTGTAACAGCATAGGGAGCTCCCAGTATGGGAAGTCACTTCACGGACACAGATTACATTTTCTCTATGACTCAGTTCATGAGTCCTAGAAAGATTCTTGAACCTTAAGGAGGCTAGGTAATCTATCCCATGGTCACACACAGGTAGTTAGTATCAGGATCAAGATGGAAACGTAGGTCTTCCTGACTCCAGGGCAGGCATGATATTCATCTAAACCAGGCTGCCTCATAGACAGTAGGCACTTAATCTGTGATTTTCATTTGACTGAGTTGAGGGGAGCCAGGCTAGATGTGATGAAGTCTCTTAGGAGGATTTGAACCGAACAGAAATTCAATATTAACTTTGAAATGGATCTCAAACCAAAGCAACCCCATATTCTTCTCCCTAAGAGAAATCAAGAATGAATTAGCTGGAACTAGACCCCAAAGCAGAGGACATCTAAGAGGACTGGAATGTGGCAAAGCCTGACTATGACAAATGGGCCTGGAGCCTTGGAGCTTCTGGAGGGAGGGGGCATCTTCCAGTTCAACATGACCTTGCCCGGTCAATGGAAAACCTGGCATCTTGACTCTTCATATAAAATATGTTTATCTCTGGGAGCAAATTCAATTCAGTTCTTCCACCATTTATTAAGTTCTGGGGATGCAAGGCAAAAACAAAAATAAAAATTTCTGTTCTCAGTTTATAAACAAACAAATAAACCAGACAACCTATTGTGATGCTACCATGCACAAGACAAACATGAAAAAAAAAATCTTCATCCCCAAAGAATTGACATTCTTCTGGGGCAATATGGTAGGTAAATAGACAATGAAATACAACTGGCTTTGAGGGCAAGAAGGAGCATTAACAAATGGGTGTAATTTGGAAAGGATTTGCATATGAGGTAACACCCAGACTGAGCTTTGAAGGAAGATGTTCTATGAGACAGAGGTGAGAGGATGGAATTCATGGCTTTATACAGGGGCCGTATAAAGGCGAGGTGGTGGGAAATGAAGCTAATTAGCTGATGAATGGTAACATATAATGTTAAATCAATTTGCATGATACATGAAACACTGAATATGGGGTCTGGAATTCTGATGGGCCCCAAGGTATTTAAAAATTCCACAATCTATGGGCAAGGAAAATCACCCCAGCCACTACAGAGGTGGTACTATTGGATAGAACCCGGTGACTCATACCTCCAGGGAGGAAGGGTAAAAGAATGCCATGTTTTGTTGAAGCTCTTAGGGATCCGTTAGGACATAATAAGTCCTATTCTGTCCTTTTTTTTTTTTTGGCCTGTGGGTGGAGAGTAGGTTGCTATAAAGCCAAGACAGTAAAGAAGCTAGAATGGAGAAGAATTGGGGTCATTGTCATTGCTTTGCTTTAGATTCTGAAGCCAGAACATGCACCTCCACACTATAAGTGACTTCGTGCCTCAAGATCATTTTCATAGACTTCCGAGGATTAACATCAGGATGGAATGAAAATGGTCTGACTCACGATGGTTGACTGCCGCTGACTCCTTGGGTGATTGGGAGGAGCCAGACCTTGTGGGTCATCAAGCACTTACCAGAGGTTGGGCTAGAGTGGGTTTCTAGGTCCTGAAATCCTAGATCCTGTGGAAGTCTATGCTTCTGCTCCAATTGTGTAAGCATACAGGCAGACGGATGTACCACACAAAGCGTTCTTTCAAGAGACTAACCTGCTACCGCCCCGGCTTGCTGGTTCCCACCATCATCAATCAGTTTTCTTTTAGAAGAAG